CAATTAAGAACATAAATTTAATGTTAAAAAATCCAAATTTCAATAGGATTCAAGTATGAAGGACAAATGAAAGACAGCTGATTCTAGCTTTTCTTCATAAAACATCTGAGGTATTTTCCTAGCCATCGTGACTAGAGTAAGGCTCTGCATTCTAATTTTATTGAACAGTTTTAAGACAAACATTGTATTTTAATTAAGTTCCTTTATGTATTTAATGTCATATTTTATTATTTATATATTATTCTGTTTAAGAATCTGGAAGATCACACATACAACAAGAAACAGTGTATTTTTATCGTTAGTGTTGTTGAAAATATTTTTCTAGATTCATTGATTATAAAAAAATCCATCATTACGGTGTGTTTGGCTCCCTACATTGTGGTCTGAACCCTTGACTTAGCTTTCTGAAGACTCAAAATGCCTTAGCAGCTTTTTGACTCCATAATCTTCCCTGAGAACCAGACTTCATTTTGTTTGAGTGCACAAAGCTCAATCATTCCATTACCCTCAATCCAATTACCCATTCAACTGTCTGACTCCAGTCCCACTTGGAAGTTTTATGTGAACTCTACACAACAGCTATAGATGTACCTCAGTCTGCCTACCTTGAGCTATTTGAAGATAAAATAAACATGTATTACATATTCTAGCACAAAATTGAAAGAATCATATGCACGTGCATACGTGACCAGCTTTTCTAATTTCTCCATTTTCTCAAGTTAGTTTTCAACTTTGGCGAATCTATTTACATTATGTCCTGATTTTGTCTCAGGCACATTCATTTTTCTTCGTTAGAGCTTGTCAACAAGATCTAAACAAAATCTCCAAACAGAGTCCCCTGAATCCTGGTTTTGAGAAACCATGTGATGAAGATACACAGAACACTCCTAGTCCCCATCCACAAGTGTTCAGCTAAAATACAAAGAGTCCTACGATTTCCAAGCCATATGATAAGATTGTTGGTTAATGAATAGAGCACTCGGGCTTGCTGATCTATTTTAAATATTTAAAATCTTTAGAATGTCTTCAGTTTCGTTCAGGTAAACGCTAAGAAATAGCCGTTTTTTATTCCCAGTGCTAAAATGGATCTGGGTCCTGGGATAAATGGATAACCTTTAATATCTTCAGAATATCTCACTGACTTGCAGGCTAAAACTGAAAAAGAAGATACAGTACTGTATTAAACTTAGAAACCTTAAAATCATAATGTAATAATCTTCCAATTAAAAAGGAAGGGCTCTTCATTATTTGAAAGTAACTTTTCAGGAATGCAATAAAAATGCTAAATAACTAGTAAAGGAGTAAAGCACTTAAAGTCATCAGTTTGCTTCTTGGATTATTTAGCTTTTACAGTAAATTGCCCAAGCTCAAAGAACAGCTGGAAAAGACATTTTGCAAGAGGGAATGTCAAGATCCAAATCACATTTTTCCAACTTAACAAAAGTTCAGAAAATGTGTTTGCTATAACCCTGTTTTCAGGTATGAATTTGAAGACAACTCAGAAGCGTCTTCTAAATAAAAATATTGTTTTTATTTGCTGTGCTTTTCAAGTTTAAATAAATCCCATGGCTACCCATTTCTCCAGTTCCACCTGACACAAAGTTTTATCCCCCAAATCCTGTTAAATGCTTTATAATCTTTGTTTGCGAATGCTTTGCCTGGCTCTAAGCCTAATGCAAACCTCAAATATTTACAGGGGTTGCAAACTATGTAAGAGGCCAGTGATAAGTTACCCTCCTCATCTAAGCTTCTGAATTACCAAAGACACATTCCAGCCATGCTTTCAAAAGTTGTTTATCCTGCGATGGAAACTGAAATATGTATATGTTTTTGGCATTTTTTCTGGAGAGTCTAATTTTGTTAATCCAGTGATCGTTTCACAATTCAAAATAACAGGGTGATAAAAAATTATTGAGACACATGAAAAATCAGAAATCTGTGTACAAGTTCGCCAAAATGCCCTGGTTGCTTACTAAAATGATAATCAACAGGAGCTGCCCAAGAGATGAGTTACAGTTTAAATGCATGCATAGGATGTACAGTAATTATTATTTCAAATTATCTCTTTTAATACTATGTGCACAGTACCATAGTATCATATTGGAATTGTGCCAAATTCGTAAGTAAAAATATGCTGGTTTTCCAAATTTATGAAACTGATGTGATTTTTCACCTATGTGTACATCAAACAATGTAATCTTAATCTTTTAAATGCAAGATACTGATGCACAGTGGGGTCAGTGTTAGTTATCCTGGTCAACCATCTCTACTGTACAGAAAAAAAGGATATTAACATTACCAGTGTCCACTAGGGGGCATGCATTGTGCTACTAGGATATTTAAATCACCAGAACTCCTACTGAGATAGTGCTTTGTGAATTGTACAGTGCCTGTCTATGCAATGTGTCATTTGCATATGTACTACATTCCATTGTTCCAGGGTGCAGTTTTCACTATAAGCCATTAATCTAATAAATGCTCTCTTTCCACATATCTCTGTACAATATCTATCAAGAGCCTACTTAAAAAGTGTTGCCTTTTCTAGTTATTAAAATAACCCTTAAAAATTATCAAAAACCTTAAGACATTCTTTACATTATTGCATCTATTTGATCTTTTTGTCTTTTTCCCTTTTTTCCCCACATTTATATCTTGCATTTCCTGATACAATGAAATTACTGCACTTCTGATCAGGATCCTGTACAAAGTACAGGTTCTCACAAACACCAAAAGCAGTTCTTCTTGAAGTCATTCAAAGTTCATGAATTAAATACAGTACTCTACTTAAGGAGTATCTTGTTTGGATTACTGCAAAAAAAAGCTGTTTAATTTACTTTCTCTGATGCGGAAAACCTGTTTCAAATGCAATTGTTGGCATTTCTCCAGAAAAACAGTTCACAGCTGCACAGTGAGTATCCTTACAGAAGAAGAAGCTTTCACACCAGTGGGTTCAAGTCAGTTAGTTTATGATCTGAAGTTTAATATTTATATTAGACATTGTGTACTATGGTGTTTATGCCAAATCTAACTGTACTGAGGAGTATTTTAAAGAACGGGTTTGTGTAATGTTTTTAAAGACTGGGCATGCGTGTAGCCTGACTATTCCTCGACAGCAAATTAAGAGGTTTTTTTCAATTATCACTGCTGATTCATTTTCTCCACAACAGGTTTTTGAAACAGGGTTTTCTAACATAATTTGAATGTTAACAGAAAGTACAGAAATGGGCCAGAATGAATTTCCCTGCCCTCTTCGAGAGCTTTTGGACATTTGGTCACAAAAAAACCAATGGAAACAGGTTAGGCTCCCAAAATAAACACAAGAAGCTGATGCTGGGAAATATGAAAAAGAAAAAAGAAGTCTTCCTTGAAACACTTCAAATTACTGGAATGTCTATGCAGTATGTAGGAAATTACTCATTCAAATTCTGTCTTATCACAATACATTTATCATTACGAATCGTGCAGCTTTCAGTTATGCATTTTGTTTCTTCAAGAGCTGAATTCGTTCTAGAAACACAAGATGTACAGATGTTGAATATCATAAGAATGCGTGGGTGAACACATTTAATGAAAGAAAACTTTCTATGAGTGAAATAGATGGATATATGGATAACTTCAACTACAGTAAACAGTGATTTAACAGCAACCACTTATTTACCGATACACAAATCATTTTCAAGATACAAGCACACCATGGGAAATTGTTGTTTTGTGGTTTCAAGCTGGTGAAAAGTGGTGTTAAAAAAAATGCCATACTGAAATGTCCATTACAGCATGCTAATGGTCAGTTTGTGACTATTGCAACAATCATGGAATGGAGTATCATTTAGGTATTTCCATGCATTGTCTATCATTTAGTAGTGTTCCACATCCACGGTCTGTGTGCTTTCAATCAATCTGATGCTATTAAATGGGCTGAAAACTGCAGATCTGTGCTGTGCATGACATGGAATAATGCAGGGCACCGCGAGTAACTCTAGAACAAGAAGGATTGCTGTCCTGTGCATTAAAAAGTAAAGTCGATAACGGAGACTTAAGGCTTAAGAGGTCAGAATTTCTGCAGCATTAACAGCGCTCAGAGGACCCCAGGATGGGATGCTTTTACATTACAGGGTTATAGGTAGGCTGCTACCCATTGCCTGTCCTGCTCCTACTACACTGTAAATGGACACATTAAAAGCACTGAATAATTTGAGACAGTAAAAAAGAAAAATCAAAGATACTTCTGAGCTGTTAACCTGACTGAAAGTGTTGAAAATGTCAATCCAATCTAGTTTTTAAATGTCAACACAGAAGCCAGACCCAGGGGACAGTGATGGAACAGCGATAGGGTCTCAGTAGAGTAAGATTGAGGTCTAACAACAGTAGCCAACTCTGTATCCACAGATATCGGCTCTATAGGGGAGGATCAAATTACTATATTATGTAGCTGAGCCACTAGGAACCTTCAAGAAAGAAGGTTTGATGGAATTCTGGGATTAATAACTCAATAGTTACTGGATGAGAAAGATGGATCTAGTGGCTTCTTTTCTTTCGTAACTTTTTTTCTTAATACAATGTTCTCATATTCTTCTCACCACAGATTTTTTTGAGGCTCCACTTTTCTCTTACTGTTTTGTTTCACAGTAAAAAAAGTGAACTAATTTTTACAGTTTTACAAGATGGGGAGTTGGACGGACTCTGGGTGTAGTAACAAAGAATGGACATAAGTGGAAATCATTTTTAAAAATCATAGGTAAAATTATAAAGATTTAATGTAAAATTTTACATTCATGGTTAAAGATGGGCACTTCGGTTATTTTGAATTGACAGCACACTCTGTAGGTATTTTTTTCCAGTTGTATGGTCTGTTGTATAAGTTGTGTGGCATTCCATGGTAGAAGCACCTTCATCACTGTCAACGACCTTTAACATTTCAGATTAGCTTGGCTTTAGAAAACATAAACGAAGCACAAAGAGAAGAAAGCAAGCAGGCTCAGAGAGGTGAATCCAGTACTTACCTTATTTTGTTTCAGTGTCGCTCCTGATCCCGCTAAAGGGTAAAAGGAAAAGGAGAAATCATCCGGGTTTCTGCATTTTCCGTCTTGCTTTGCAAAATTGATTTTTTCGCCCAAGGCCTGGTTTGTTGCCGTCCCCAGAACGGCAGCAGACTGAAAAAAAACAGCAAGTAATGAAAAGTCAACTGGCTGCCCATCGCTGAAGGAAAATCTCGACAGGACGGAGACTGTAGTGGTGGCAAATCAAACAAGGGAAGCAGAGCCGAAAATCTTGAAAAGCAGAGCTTTTTCTACTTCTTCACATTTACTGTAGTTCTCTTTTATTATCATTATAAAATACTTTTAAGTTCAAACATTAGAAGTTTCTTCCTGGTCAGTACAGTATTATACACATATTTATGTCTCAGGATACATACTCTTTCCTGACTCTCCAGAGTCAGGTTCAACATGAATTTCTTGCACTGTTCACTCAATACTATTTGATAGTTTGCCTGGTTTAGCTGGTCTGATTTGCCTGAAAGTACATTACTCCTGCCAACTGACTACACCACACAACCTTTGTAATGGCACTGAAATCTCCACATGAATACTGATATATGTGCTCTCCTGCCCTGAACACCAAAAAGGACACTATTGTCCCTTGGTACCAATATAGTGCTGTTGGAGGCATGACGCAAGGCATCATGAGAAACTCTTACTGTAAACAACATGTTTCACAGTCCTAGTGAAACGTGTAGCACAATGGAGGTCTGTCTCAGCTGTTCCTGCGTAGCGTAGAAGGAATGTCCGCCAGTAATGTCTCTCTTAGCACATCCAGCAAATTGGGAGCCTTCATCAACTAAATAAAAGGGCTTATTCGAGATGTTTCTACCATATCCATTACATAATACTATGAGTAATCAAGGCGTTCGTGTCACAGTCAGTGCGCCTGTTATATATGAATTGGGAAAATCAAATCTCTGTGTCACGAACTTCACTTTCTTAGAACTACTTGCATTATAAATGTTGATCTAAAAGCCTCCATAACATTTTTTTAAAACTGCTGTGATTGTTTTGCAGTGTCAGAAGATTTACTGTACCAGGTTTTATCCTACACAGTATTTTGTACACAGGACCAACCGCAGAACATCTACATATCTTTTGAGTAATTCATCATGAGAACTCTGTATGTGGACAAAGCCCAGTTCATATTGACATTCATAACATTTTATAACCTGAGTTAAAATGAGGCTATGAAAAGGAGTGTGAGTATAAAATCTGCTTCTCTTCCTGGATCAATTTCCCTGTTTCTTCGATTCCAATTACAATCCTCTAAACTTTCAAGAATAACTTTAGTGTTGCTTGGAATTGCAAATTAAAGAATAAACAAATGTGGAAGAGTCACATCACCTAATTTAACAGAACCACTACAACAGATAAATTAAAATAGCATAAAATGAGTCCTTAATTCCAATGGTTGGCAAACACCCATGCTAATCACATTTTAGACGACATCTTTACAACTGCTGAAGAAAGAAATACCTCAAATTCAACTGAAAAATACAAAGCCTGACAAAATACATTATGAAAACTAACAAACTAAAAAAAAACTAAAGCTAGTTCATGTCAGAGCTTAAAACTAATTTGAAGTATTTCAGCAAGGTCTCAATGAGGAGGAGGTGATAATTGAGAAAATCAATAATTGAGAATCAAAATGGCAATGTCTATGTTGTAGATTTATAGTTTTTGTGTCTGAATAATAGGAATCAAGCTATGAAAATCTGCATCTACTGTATGTCCTGTACTTGAAAGTCTTGTCTCAACGGAGACAACTTTACTAGTTCTGTTTTAGGAATCTAGACCCCATTAAACATTCAATTACATATCAAAGGAAGATACAAGCTGGTGGAATACACTAATCTTTTATTAATAACATTTACAGTCTCCAACTCTTAATAGTCATGTATTTATTCACTTTTATTATACTGAATAATATTTAGCACTTCCTAAATTCAAAATTTAATTGTTTGGCTAAGGGCTACACAATACTTTACACAGTATGATCAAGTCTTATGTTTCACACGTGACTTGTGTGCTGCCAGGATGTACTGTAATTAACCTACAGTACATGTGAAAGGAATTGCTTCTGTTGTCATTATTAATAAGGAGGATGAAAGAAACTGAGGGTGGGAGAAAAACCGAATGATTTCCATGAAACACGCAAACAAATGATAGGGTATGTGCTTAAAGGCAGAGTATAAAGTGAACTCAGGCACAGAATCACCAAAGTCTCAGACCTTAATATGATGTCAAACTTACCATCTCCTTTCGCTGAACTCCAGGAGTGTCAGACGGTGAGGAGTTACTACTCAGGGCTTCTTCAATATCCAGATTTAGCTGGTCTAGCTTCTTCATGAGCTGTGTCATCGACTCTGACCATGGGGACATGACTGGAGACTCCTGAAAACAGTAAAAGCACCTTTAAGTAAACATGCCCAATACAGCTCTGAAGGATTTGGAATTCTATATGCTTACCACAGTATTTCTGAAAGAGTTTTGTTTTTGGTAATGGGTTTTCCGTTAACGAGTTTTAATTTGAACTGAAGTGGTTTTTAATAGAGCTGGCATCGTGGCCCAGTAGTTAACGTTGCTGCCTCATTTCAATCCCGAGGCTCTCCAGGATCAAGGTTGGAGCCCCTGACCTACAGGTATAGCACCTACCTGTATATCAGAACTCTCCAAGCTGATGAAGAGATATAAAACCTAACCTCTGCCCTATCACAGAAATACAGCTTGAACACAACAGTGTCAGAGTGATGCTTGGTGGTATTATAATGTTCAAAATATTACATTTTTATCTGTAAAATCTGATTTGGACATTAATCATTCAGCATCAGATATTCCCTCAGTGCAGTGTATATTACTGCTAAAGATCATAATATCTCATTTTTCATGTGTCTCCTCTAGGATTCCTTTTGCAGAATATCTGACAGCAGGCATCCCAGTGAAAAAAAAACAATATTGAACACAACATCTTTTCAGCATTGGTGTAAGATTCAAAATAAGCATTTATTGGTGTGATTTTCAGGATTTGAAGTTCTAGAGTCAAATACGTTGTTACATCAATAGCATTGATTCTGTTCTGCAGCTTTTCCTTTCTGATGGGTCTCATAGGTACAATGGCCTTATATACTGTAGGTATTGATCTAAACTTGTTGGTACTGTTTTTTTTCCTGAATGTGAATAATGCAACAAGGAGTGTACTGAGCAAATGGACATTTGTATCAAAACCAAGCTTTTCTTCATGATGAGGTGCTCATTTCTTATTAATGTGTCAACAACAGCAAAGTGTGAGTACAACAACTGCAGCTGGGTATCAATTGGGTGCTCTCTAAATGCTTTTGAAGATAATTACATTGCTAGTTTTAAGGTTAGCAGAGACTGTGATACTGAGTTAGATGTGTGACTTTTCAAGTTGCTTCTCATTACTCAGGTTATTTGTTGTCATCTACTAAAAAGCCCAGAGAAATCCCCCTTTAACTATTCACACTAGTTCTCCTTGTGGCTCACAGCTTGCCATGAAAAAAAGATTAAAAAAGATTAAGCATATAGTGAGAAACTTACACTATAAAAATTCAAGAAGGGGTTACTGAATAAGAACATTCACTACTGTACCTTCCTTCTCTAGATTTTACACCATGTATAGGCTTTATGAGCATTAGCAATTATAAGTAATAACAGTATTTAACAGAGGGGCAAAAACTTTTTGAACTGCATTATCATGAACTGAGTCTTAAGCTATCTCAATAAAGTTCTCTTTTATTCTTCATGGTTTAAATGAGCAGTTTTTACAGCAGGAGTGGCTAAAATGATTCCCGGGAAGCGAGAGTGGAAAATCTGAAACTACTATCCGTACCCTTGGAAGTACAAGATTACAGTATGTTATCAGAAGAAGCTCTTACAGATTGTCCTACCCAGCAAAAACTAACACAATCTACAACAGCAATGCGATAGCTTTACACAATAGCAGATAGAGCAATAGCACACTGACCCCAAAACTGTGGTATGTGTGAGATGCCCAGCTTAAGGAATTCGTAGCCATTAGCTTTCACTGCAGCCTAAACTGCTACATATATAAATAGATCACTCATACACAGGCATAAGCCCTGTTTGAAAATCCAGAAATTTAGGGTTATACATTTTCAGGATACGCAGTCAGCTAGAAGACCATTAAAATAAAGCCACAGCCATTACTGAAAAGATGTTTATAATCTCAAGAGCTCTGAATTTCTCACAGTGCTTCGCAAAATAGGGACTACAAAGCTATTTGTTCATTTCCTGGAACAAACTGAAGTAAATATATTCCAGGCGCTCAGTGTGACTATTTGTGCCTCAGGGCCGGACAGACTTTTTTCCACTGCATCAAAGCTCCTACTGATTCCTATACAATAATCCTATTGATGAATGTCATCTGTGAGAAAGGCACATTTGTCTTAATAACTTAGCCATAAGGCTCGATGCAATGGGTGTGATCGCTATCTGCTGTGCTCCTGAAATTGCTGGAATGTGGAAATACTGAGTGCTCCAGCACCAATTAAGCTCCAGATATCACAGCTGCCTCTTTCAGAACGAGAAAGCCTCATAAACTGTTTCTTTTTATATATGCAGTATTTGGCCTATAATGAAATCAAATAGCTGTTTGGAGTTCTTAATACTCCTCTCTAATTCCCATTATTTCTGCTGGAATATAATAATTTAAAATCTTTTTTATGTACAGTACGTCTAGATGTTGCTGAGTACACATTGGACCTTCAGAGCTTCTTTTACAGTAGGTATTAGAGTGCTATGGTGCCCACTTAATGGTGCTCTTAATGTTGTGTATGAGTAAAACAGTGATTAATTTGGTTTTAGGTGTGACAGACTTAAAAGTCTTGCTTTTCTCATAATCCTCACAACCTAGCTTGAAATCATCCCTCCTTACCAGTACAAGGAAGGGTGGAGGACCATGCACACTGTCTTCTTACACATGCACTGTCAGAGGCATTTATTCCTTATTCACCTCAGGCCTAGCACACAACCAAAGTAAAAGTATGATCAGCTGATGGGGCAATATTGCTGTCTCGGACATCACTGCAATTGTTCACTAGACAAGTGAAAGGGGTAGGTGCTGTGATGCAAGCTAAGGATAACTGCCTGCATTTGTACAGCACTTTTCATTCCAAAGAATCCCAAAGCCAAGTACATAAAGGAGGGGGATACCACTTCATCCTCCACTGAAGTGCAGCAGCCACCTGGGTAACAGCTATTATGCGCCAACAGTTCCACTACAGAGTAGATCAGATAACAATAACAATTCAGAATTGGATATAGAATGTGAAAGTCCCTTCTTCTTCATTAATGCTGCAGTAACGTGGAATGCACATTTATGCCAAAAGCACTTCAATGACAAGGATGGCTGGATTTTTAGATAAAGCTGACGTGAAAGCCCGATTGTTTTTTTAACACCTTTCCTAATGTTTAAGATTAAGACTTACAGTTACAGTTTTAGGATGCAAAAGAAATCAAAATGGGAACAGAAGCATGATTGGGATCAGTAAAAGTGTTATCTGTGCTGATTACAGCTGTATGAAATAAAGCAAGACTACGAGACCAGGAACGTAAGCTGCATAATAATTCTACAAAGTAACGAGTCGCTCGTATTTGTACACGTAAAGCACCTCTCCCATACAGTATATTTTTGAGTGCAGGTACAGAGATGCAGTCATATGAAGACTGTACTGCCACTGTTTTGGCAAGTAGCAAAGGTATGTGCGTCCACATGATGCTGTTTCAGAATAATCTGTGTGCTCAGCACTGAAAATTTACAACCCATGTGCTCTTAAACGGAATGTCTGGAATTTACCGGTTATAAGACTGGCTCAGTATGAGGCCATGTCCCCCGGTTTACTTCCCTTTTAGTTTCTGAAGAAAATATGAAAATAACTGCCATAACAATATCACTTGTATGAGTCAGCTTATGCGATTCATAAATTAATATGTATTTATAGAAGCAAAAAAGATTCTAAATGTAACAGGCTAAATTTGTCACAAGGCTACACCCCTGCATTTAATCTTTCTAATTATTTTAAATAGAATAAGTCACTGTTTTGGGCAAAGTGACGTTTATCCCTTCAGTGACTGCCATGCCACCCACACAGTGCGCCTGCTCTTCATGAAGCCTTCTTTGTCAACGCTGAATGTTCAGACACACAGGAAGAGTCTAGCCGGGTTATTCTGTTAATTCCCAAGGGCAAGAGAGTAGACAATGGGATAGCAACAATTCGCTCACCGACAGTAGATGTCTTCCAAACAAAATACGCGCACAGCCAGTTCTCTGTTTTGTTAAATCTTTAGATGGGTTATGCTTCACACACAAATGAGGTTATTAAAAAACCTAGCAGGACAGTATTTCGGCCTCTGCTCCTCTGACAAATTGATGTCCACGGAGAAGCAAAGCATTGATTCATTAGCCGGCACAAGTCACTTTTAAGGGTCTTTTTTCCCCGTTTCCATCCACAAAGGTTTCGCGTAACGCCGTGCAGCAACGTCGCCATCTGGTGGCGACCACGGATAGCTGTGTCTGGAATGTTCTGCATTGCCACTGAAATACCCTTTTTCGTGTTTTAATTCTGTACGTTTGTTACCTCTCTGTTACAAGAGGTTCACATGAATAAAATGTACCATTTTTCCCTTTTGGGTTCCTGATTTAATCTACAAAGTGCGTCTGTGTATGTGGAGCACACAATCACAGTTACAATGAATGAAATGACATACATTATTGTCTTGTCACTATAACATAGTTTGTTTCCAAAATATACTGATGGAAAAAAGAAATGCAACACCTCCTCCACTCTCTGGCCCTCCCGTCTGCATGGAACAGGCTGAAGAATGACTCAGCCATGAAGAGGACCTGATGCCACTGTTGACAACTCCATCGCAGCCTCTGTGGTCGGGTGTGACGTCTAAGGTGGGAGCAGAGGGCCTCTGACAGGTCACCTTGCTCTAAGGCCAGCAACATGGAGACTTACTGTCCTGTCACTGATGCTGGCATTGTGTCTGGTGGCAGTTTCAGCAGCAGTGCGGGTGGCAGATCTGAAACGATCTCTTGGATGGACCAGTCTGATGTGTCGGTCCTGCTCTGGTGTGGTTAATGGAGGGCGACTGGATCTTGGACGGTCATCTGTCTTGCCGGTCTGCTGAAACCTTCTCTGCAGTTGGGACACAGTGTAGTGGCTTACTCCATAGTGTCAGGCAACGCTGGCACATGACATACCTGCCTGCAGCACGCCAATGGCCCTCTCCATTGCTTCTAGTGACATTCAAGGCATTATGGAATGTACAGAAAACTAAGTGTGGCCTTTTTCTTGCAGTGACCTAAGCTCTGAATTTAAAAGTGACCTGATCAGGCATTGTTCTACCTG